ATTTAGAAGGCTATGATACATATATATATATATATACATGCACACATTCATATATATATATATATATATATAAATTTATGTTCATTTATCGATTATAAATGTATATATATACTCAATCTGTTCAAGACTTTACCTCGAGGATGGGAATGGATTAATCTTTGTGTTCTGTTTCACCTCGCATTATTGACATCAGCTTGCTTGTATATTATGTTTCAATTCGTGACTACGCATGTACCCTTATAAATCTTTGTCTTCTCAAACGACAGCTATCATGTTAAGATCTAGGTCCGGTATTAGTATTTTCTTATGAATCATCTGCAAATTTTATTCTCAACAAGTATGGTTCCAGAATTTGCCAGAAACACGTTGTGTGTATTTTTTTGTCGTTTGGGGCATCTGCGAATTGAAGATCACGACAGGTGTTGCACAAACAATAGTTTTGGAATGTGTATGCTACGTAATATCGTTGTACCCTAAAACATCCTTATGTAGGCTATATACTCTTTATATTTAACTAGGACCGCCGTTTACTCTTTCTAATCAACTATGATCGCCATATACTTTTTATAATTAACTATGGTCTCCATATACTCTTTATAATTCAACTATGATCGCCATATATTCTTTATACTTAACTATGGTCCCCATATACTATTTATAATTAACTATGATCGCCATATACTCTTTATTATCATCTATGATTGCCATATGCTCTGTATAATTAACTATTATCGCTTTATACTCTTTTAAATAACTATGATCTGTTACGGTTGCTCGGATACAAATTACGGGAGTAACTGACGTAAACTCCACGCTATTCTGCGTTTCTCACTCGAATTAATGATCAAAATGTGTATCCAATGGCCCGAAGACATGCTTTTATATATCTAGAATAAAAAGACATCCCTGTAGCTGCACACACTGGTCATATGTTTTTAAAATGGTGTAATTTAAGATATAGAGAGAACTCTTCTGTCGGTCAGATACTCTGGCAAACGACGCTCTGCGGCCATTATAAAGATGCTTTTTCTGGAAGCATTCCACAGTCTGCTTTTCACACTCGACGATGTTACGAACATAAATCCGTTAAAACTTACATTTTTATTGCACAGGCTCCGTCCCGCAAGTAGTATCTCGATCCGTACTATTGTATCGACATCTGCCATAGTGAAGCCATACGCTTGTGAGTGGCCCAACTGTGGTCAGACATGTCTCAGTCCATCTCATCTGAAGGCGCACATGCGTATGCACACGGGCGTACGTCCCTATGCGTGTAACTATCCTGGGTGTGGCAAGAGGTTTTCTCAAAAAGGTAGTTTGATAGCACACAAACGCGTGCACTCGGGCGAACGGCCCTATGCGTGTGGCTATTCTGGGTGTGGCAAGAAGTTTATTCAACAAGGTCATTTGACAGCACACAAACGCGTGCACTCGGGCGAACGGCCCTATGCGTGTGGCTATCCTGGGTGTGGCAAGAGGTTTGGTCACAATGCTAGTCTGATAGCACACATACGCGTGCACTCTAGCGAACGGCCCTATGCGTGTGACTATCCTGGGTGTGGCAAGGAGTTTATTCAACAAGGTCATTTGACAGCACACAAACGCGTGCACACCGGTGAACGTCCTTATGCGTGACTAACCTGGGTGTGGTGTCAAGTTCAAACTGTCTGGTTATCTACGCCGCCACAAACACGTGCACAATGCCAAACACGGGTCAACCGATTCAACATAAGCCGCTGCACAGGTGGGATTATTCAATAAATGGACGGGACGACGTTTCTCGCCAGCACACGTTGATTCAAAACGTTTTGATCAGCCTTTGAATTGCTGCCAGGACACCTTATTCCACTTCTTTCTTTTATTTGCTCATATATATATATATATATTTCTGGATCCTCACGTCTGGGAGTTCAACAGATACAGCCCTACAATCATACTCGTACCAAAACAATTAATCTATACTTCAATTGTTTGTATACAAGCTTCAACACCTGAAGGCGAACTGTGGGCTTCACTGAATGTATTGCATCATCCATACGCAATGGCTGCAATGAGACGATACGTTATCGAGGTCTTGTTTGTCTCCATATGCGCTATTATTTAGGGTAGAAGAAGTATTTAGGGTAGTTCATCGTTACTTGCTGTAGCTTGGTTAGTTTTGAACTCGACTTTGGACCACTGCCAGGCCCGCTTTCTTCCAGTTCCTTTTATTTGCACGTATAAGCCAATTTCTGGATCCTAACGACCGGGGGTTCATCAGATACAGCACTATATTATGCTCGTATCAAAACAAGTCTCCCTATCCGAACATGCTTGACAAAAGGTTCTTATATGTATGTTTGTATGTATGGATGTATGTATGTATGTATGTATGCATATATATCTATCTAACTATCTATATATATATATATATAATATATATCTATATACATACATACATACATACATACATACATACATACATACATACATACGTACGTGCGTACGTACTTACCTACATACATACATACATACATACATACATACATACATACACACACACACACACA